GGAGCAGATGTGGTGGCTGCCGTGGCCGTAGTGGGCGCCGTGCTTCCCGGAGAGGCGGGGGTTGAAATTGGCCCGGCAGATGGGCTCCACGTTGTAGGCCGAGGTCCCGTGGAAGAGGTGTCTCTCCAGGCGCCGCTTCTCCCCGGCGGAGAGGCCTCGGGACATTCCCTCCTTCCAGCTGAGGGGGACGCCGAGGAGACACAAGGGGGGTTAGAGTCACTGCTCCCCGGTCCTGGTTCACCCCGATACCAGCTCCCCGGGCCACTGAGACCCTCAGGGTGGGGAGGGATCCAGCCATGCACCCAATTCCCTCCACAATGCGTTCTTTCTCTTCTCCTCACTGAACAGCTCCACATCTCCTCCATGTCAGGTCGTGCACCTCCCGACCTCTGCCTCGGTCTCCCCTCAGCTTCCCCTCCCCCGGACCCTCCTCTCTCTGCTCAGGGCCTTCCCCGTGCCAGGGCCACCGGCAGGCCCCCCTGGCCCGCCCCAGCCAGCATCTCTCCTCCACCCCATGCTCTGGCTGGGAGCTGTCTCTGCTCTCAGGCTCCAACCCCGCCACCTCTCCCATGCTTCCCTCACTCCCCTCCACTCATCATCTTCAGCCCCTTTTCCCTCAACCTCCTTTCCCTTGGCCTTCAACCCCCCCTAGCCCACCACAGAACATTCCTTCACCTCAACCTGCTCTCCGGCCTGTTCCCCTTCCCCTCCAAACTCCTTCATCTGCTCCAGCACCTCTTCCTCGCCCTCCATCCCCAACCCCCCCAACCTGCCCCTGAGACTGGTCCCAGGCGGCTCCGGTTCAGACAAGGGACCCCCCTCATCCTTCCAGGTACATCTCTCCCTCTGCTGGAGTCTCTCTTCCCTGGCCGTCCCTGATGCTGAGCTGTCCTGGCTCCTAGCCCCTCGGCCTTCATGCCCCTCCTCGCCGCTCGCCCCTTTCCTGCCGCCCTCTGAAGTCTCCCTGTCAAAACTGGAGGTGGTTTGAAAGGACGCACTCCAGCTCAACCATGAGACAGGAGAGCAGAAACCACTGGGGAAAATTCTGAGGTCGGATGTTTGTATCCCAAGGATGAGTCTCCCGAACCATCCCTGAGATACATACCCCGTGGACCCATCCCCGAGAAGATAACCCACCTAGTCACGCCCACAGCACCGGCCTCAATGGCTTAATGGCGGGTTAAACCTACCGGCCCGGTCTAACCCATCCACCTCTTCCTACCTGCTGTATTTTTCCCAGAGTGCATCATTCCGGATCCTGTAAATCCTCAGCACCAGCACCGTGTCCTCGGGGACAGAGGCGTGGAAGAGCTCACAGATCTCGCGGTACACCGCTTCCGAGGAGGCCACCTCGGCATGCAGGAAGGCCTGGCCACGGGGCGGCTGAGGGACCCAGGCGGCAGGGTATGGCCCACAATACCCGTCGGAGGGGCTCTCCCCAGGGATGGTGGATATGGAAAGATGGAAGGTTCCCCAGGAGTCCCTAGGGATTGTCCTAAGGAGAGGAGAGACACTGGTCAGTCAGAGCACAGCTTGGAACCAATGTTCCCTCTAATATTTTCCCTTTATGTGCAGAATAAGTTTTGTTCTGCGCACCCAGGTATGTGCACCACCAGTAGAAACAAGTTGCTGGCTGTGGGAGGCTGTAAACGCTCTGCTAACTACTGAGCGGTACATGAATCTCTCCTGGGTGGCTGCCCACGCTAACAGGGAACACTGCCTGGAACCTCTCCAGCCCTGGAACTGCCCCGGGAGTCGCTTACCGCAGGTACCGCGCCATGCGGCTCAGCGAGCGGTAGGCAGGTCGGCGCTGGATCTGGACAGGGCACCTGGATCCTGGGCCTTCGGCACTCTGCAGCGGGGGCCTCGGATCCATGGTGTAGAGCTGGCCCCGGAACTGAAAGGTGGGCTCCTGAGAGTCTCTCTCAAAGGCTGCCAGGAGGTCGTGGGGGACAGGCTGAGCAGAGGGAGGAAGGAGAGTCGAGCTCTTAGCAAGGCTGAAAGAGGAAGGCCCTTCCACGCATTGCGCCTTGCAACAGGACCCCGTCCTGCCCTGGAGGGACCATCCCGTCCTGGGAACCCCGTCTCCATCTTCATCCACCCCTGGGCCGACCATCCCGCCTTGCTGTGACACGCCAGCCCCACGTGAAAGGGCTTCCGCCTCCCCCGCCTCCCCTCACCTCCTCGTAACGCTGCCACGCGTCGCCGTCCCTCCAGTACACCTCCCAGCGGGTGTGGAACCGGGGGTTCCGCTTCCAGTCCGAGGTGCTGCCCAGCCGCCTCGCTCTGCTAACCACGTCCACATAGCCCAGCTCCATGGTGCCCAGGTCCAGGATCCCCAGCGAGCGGTTCCTAAGGGGGGGGAAATCATTTCACCTGCCGGCCCTTGGGGGCCCTTGTCTGGGAGAGGTTGGGACCGGGGTAGCTGTTTCCCAAACAGCCCCTGCAAATCGTAGGTGGCTCATAAGAACGGCCAGACTGGGCAGACCAAGGGTCCATCTAGCCCCGTGTCCTGTCTGCCGGTGCCCCAGAGGGAATAAACAGAACAGGGAATCACCAAGTGATCCCTCCCCTGTCACCCATTCCCAGCCTCTGACAAACAGAGGCCAGGGACACCCTCCCTGCCCGTCCTGGCTCATAGCCATTGATGGACCTACCCTCCATGAATTTATCGAGTTGTTTTTTGAACCCTGTTTAAATCCTGGCCTTCACAACATCCTCCAGCAAGGAGTTCCACAGGTGGACTGAGGGCCGTGTGAAGAAAAACTTCTGCTTTTCCTAGAGCCTCTTACTGGGAGACAGGAGATGCTAGGGAACCTGCCCAGCCCTGGATCGTGCCTTGGCTGGGCTGGAAACAGCTGGGCGGTAGCTCCCCATAGCCCGGTGCGAGATCCTGGAGGGAGCTTTGCCACCAGGTACCTGTCCAAGAACCGCACGAGGCTGGTTCTCGCGTCGCTGTAGAGCTTCTCCAGGTGGCACTGAGAGGAGTCGCCCAGACTCTGCCATGCCGCCCGGCTGCTGCACCGGGGGTGTGGTGGAGCGGGCAGCGCTCCCTCCGGGGGCAGTGCCCGAGCAGGAAGCCGTCGCAGATCCGGATGCCGTCTTCCTGGTGGACGTGGAAGGGGATCCCGTCCTCACCGACCCAGTGCTCCGCGGTGGGTGGGGGGCCGCACAAGCCTCTGGCCGGCACAGGGGATGGATTCCGGGGGGCTGCCTGCTCCCTGGATGACGGAGGGGAGCCAGGGCTCACGGTGTCGGGAGAACGTGGCTCCTGGGTAGCTCAGGGAGAGGAGGAGACACTTTGAGATACAAAGCTACTCTGGGTCCCGGATGCTGGAGCTCAGCCCCCACCAGCCGCTTATCCCTGCCCTGGGCTCCCCTTGCATCACACACGCTGATCCCACCAGCATGTGTCTCTAGCCCCCTCCCACTAACCCAGACCCACCCTGCTCCCCCATCAGAAGCTGCTTTTCTGGGCTCCAGCCCGTCCCCTTGAGCCCTGCGCAGACCCGTTCTGAGCACCACGGGGGGCTACACCCCATTGCTCTTGCTCACAAGCACCGTTTACCTGTTGGAGCTGGCTGGGGGCTGCGCTGGTCCCAGCAGCCGCGGGCTCCGTCCGAAGATACCGCCAATTGGCTGAGGATCCCAAGGGACAGCCTCTGGCCCATCCCCTCCCGTGCCCGCTGTCTGTTTCTCTTTGAACAGGAGGATTCTTAGAACATCGGGGTGTTGCCTGACTCCCATTGGTAGGTTTGTTCCACCCCACAAAGCTGCCGCCTGCCGAACACCCCCAGTCACCCCAAAAGCAGGGTGCAGGCAATTCCCAACCTCTCCCCACAGAGCCGCTGACGTGAGGGTGCCATGGGCCCGAGAAAGGCCCAGACTGTCTGTTTCTCTTTGAACAGGAGGATTCTTAGAACATCGGGGTGTTGCCTGACTCCCATTGGTAGGTTTGTTCCACCCCACAAAGCTGCCGCCTGCCGAACACCCCCAGTCACCCCAAAAGCAGGGTGCAGGCAATTCCCAACCTCTCCCCACAGAGCCGCTGACGTGAGGGTGCCATGGGCCCGAGAAAGGCCCAGACTGTCCCAGCTCATGTTTGTCATGGGGCCTCCGGCAAGTCGCCCCATCTCTGCACCCTGCTTCCCCATCCATACAACGGGGTGGACTTCAGCCAATCCAGCTGTGTAAAGGGCCCCGAGGGCCAGAGGCGGAGCAGTGCACAGTGTGGTCACCAGTGATCCCTCTAGTCTTTTCCATCCGTGTGCAGATACATTTTATGTGCGCTGAGGCATGGGCCAATGCGCACCACCACTAGAACCACAAACCTCGCTGTGGACACGCTCTGATCAGCTGGGCAGCACTGGACTCTCTCCTGAGTGGCTGCATGAGCGGGGTAGCGGGTGGCAAAATCCACCACCAGGATGTATTTCTTCCCCATCCGGGTCGCTCTGCTGAAGGGTCCCACTATATCCATCACCACCTTCTGGAAAGGCTCCTCTATGATGAGAAGGGGCCTCAAAGCAGCTTTCCTCCTATCCTGGGCCTTCCCCACAGGATTGGCAGTACCGCTGCACGGCAGCAAATATCCCTGGCCAGTAGAAGTTTGGAGCAGCCTCTGCCGGGTGCACCAGATCCCCGGGCGTCCCGAGAACGGGATGTCATGGGCCAGGTACAGCAGCTGGTGGCAATACTTTGGGGGGATTACCAGCTGCCCATGGAGCCCCCCTTTTCCCTGGGGGAAGCCATTCCCGATTCAGGAATCCTTGCTCCCACAGGAACCTCTCCTGGCACTCTCCCCTAGTGACTGAGCTGTGCCCAGGTCAGCCCGGTCCCTCAAGGTCCGCAAGGAGGGATCCGTCTGCATCTCAGCCTGGAATTCCACAGCTGGGACAGGGACAGGGAGCTGCTCCCGCCACTGCCTGGCTCCGGAGTCCCAGCCCGGCCGGACCCCTTGTCCTTCCCCCGCCCACACCACACCCTACCCCTGCCCACACCACGCCCTCCCCCCATCCACACCACGCCCTGCCCCTTTGCTTCCAATGCCTGAGTGGCCTGAGGCGTCCAGTTGTTTTGGCTGGAGGCATGGGGCTACTTACCTGGTTCAGCCACTGGTGACAATGGCTTCTTCACATTGTTGCTGCTGTAAGGCGACAGCCGCACCCGTCCCGTAACAGGACTTAGCCCATCCCCTCCCAGTCCTTGTTATTAACCCTGCCTGAGAGCTGGAAAACCGGACACGCCAGGAACGGCCCAGCACGGTGGTAGTGTCTAGGAGCCCAAACCACGTCCCATGCTGTGTCGGAGGACGGGCGTGAGGTTATGTCCGTGTGTCCTGCTGGGGAGGTTTGTTAGGCTGCTGAAGAACGGCCCGTGAGCGAATGGGGACGGCTGACCCGTGTCACACCGGAGGGGGCAACCCGGCTCTGGGAGGGATGGACTAGGAGGTGAGCTGGGACTTTTCCACTTGCAGTGTTTGCTTGACAGCTCACTGGAGCATCCTTTGTTGGTCTCATGCTCCCCTCACTGCCCCCGAGGCCCTGCCCCCACTTGGCCACTTTTGCCGAGGCCCTGTCCACTGCTGGCTCCTTTCCGCCCCTCCTCCCCCACCTGCCTGCCAGCCGCTCGCCCCTCTCTGCCCAGACCTCTTGTGCAAGTGGTGGGGGGGGGCCCGGGGTCGGGGTGGAGCCCAGGTGGAACGGGAGGTGGGGCTTTGAGGCAGAGGGCAGGGCGGGGCGTCGGTGGAAGTCAGGGGCGGGGCGTAGGGCAGAGCAGGGGCCCTGACCAAAAAAGGTTCCTCTGGCCGTGGTCTCGTGAAGCCAAAGATCGACGAGCAGGCGGTGCAAGGGGCAGGATATTTTTTTATTAAAGCAAATTCCGAAGCTGAGCCCAAACTGCAAATATATTTGCCATTGACGCGTGCATGTCTGCGCACGGGCAGTCACTAGGGGGAATGCGCGTGCAAGGAACGGGGGCATCGACGCATGCATGTCTGCGCATGGGCAGTCACTAGGGGGAATGCGCGTGCAAGGAACGGGGGCATTCGCAGAGCCTCTTGGGAGATCGTTTGGGGCACCCATCCCCCCACTTTGCTGCTGTTTTCATTTCCTGGCTGGCACCCCCTTCTCTTATTCCCCACCTCTCGCTCTCCTTTCTCTGACCCGGGGTGAAGGGACATGGTGGTTTTATGGGATCTCCCCCTCTGTCCTGGGCACCAGCATGTTCTCCCCCCGCTACCCACATGGGCCTGGGGCAGGGGGCTGGCTTTCTCGGCCTCTGACCGCCTTAGGTTGCACATACACTGTCTCTGGCAGGCAGGCACTGGACTCAGCTGCTTCCCGGCTGAGTTTCTGGATCCCTCCTGAACACTGAGGCTGGCTTTCTCGGCCTCTGACTGCCTTAGGCTGCACATACACCGTCTCTGGCAGGCACTGGACTCAGCTGCTTTCCGGTTGAGTTTCTGGATCCCTCCTGAACACTGTAGGGTCTGACCGTGATGGTTAGGAGCTGCTTTCATGGTGGAGCCTGGCTCCAAGCTGTCCTTGCTACAAGGCCAAGCTACGTTGCAAAACACTTGGCCTTGCAGCGAAACAACTGAACGCGGGGAATTTTTTTCCCCATGGCTGATTTCTATTGGCACCATTTTTTTTTGGCGCAACTTATAGCAAGGAACGGGAGGACTTATAGAACATCCGTTCCCACGAGCGTCAGTGGCATCAGTGCGGAAGGGATGTATCCCAGGGCGACTGACAGCAGGGACGCCCTGTACAGCTAATACATTTTCTGGCTGGAGTACTAAGGGGGAAGAATTCGTGGCACGGGCAGAAGGGCCACGTTCTCAGTGCAAAGCACTTCTCTCCCCTTAGCACTGGAACTTCCGGACAGCCCGGGTGAACTTTTTCAGCTCCCTCTCGCCTCGCTGCCACCTCCGCACCCAGGAGATAACCAAGCGGCCGGCCACCTTGTGGCCCATGGCCAGAACCACGGCGCCCTGGTCTGGCCCTGCACCAGCCACAGGATGGGCTTCTTCAGCTCTTCTTCCGACCAGCCTTCCTGCTTGTAGAGGGTCCGGCTCTTGAGCTCAGGCATCACTTTCAAGTCTCCGTCCTCGCTGGCCAGTGCTTTGATGCTCATTTTCAAGGCTGTGGGAGAGAGGGAGTCGGTGAGCGTGGGACCGAACGCAAGGCAGTGGCTCAAAGGACAGATGGAGAACTCATCTGCGGAACTCACTGCTGCAGGAAAGTATGGCGGCAGCCAGGGCAGTGAGGATTTGAGCAGAATTAGACCTGTTACTAAGAGTTATTGTCAGCGTGACTGTAATGGGGTCGCTGGCCCATTTAATGAAGCAGGGCTCAGGGCTCCTGTTCCAGTCCAGGTGCGCCCAGTAGGGCTAATTAAGAGGGCCGGGTGGCCCCTGGGGGACTCTATGAGGCCTCATAGAAGGAGCTGCCAGGAGATTCAGTCAGAAGCAGACAGAAGGTGGGTCCTGCCAGAGGGCTGAAGACAGGAGAGCAGCAGAGGGAGATACCAGCTGGCTCTCACCTGGACAGCTGGTCCCATGTGCCAGAGAGGGCTGAGGTAGGCTCCCAGCAGAGAAGCGGGGGGGCCCCACTGGGAAGAGCGAGGCAGAAGGAAGGGCAGGGTGGCTGCCCCGGCAGAGGTGGATTTTAAGAGTCCAGGTCTAGCAGGAGACAGAAGGATGGAGAAGGAAGCACCAGGGCTGCCATGGACTATGTTGCCTGTGGACTCAGGCATGGCCTTTGGCTAATAACTTGTGAGGGCCCAGAAGGCAGGGGCTGATACTGATGTTACTGGGTTCCCAGAGGGAAACTGAGGCAGGGGGGCTGGCAGAGTTGCCGAGGCCCTGGTGGGGGGCCCAGGAGGAGGCCACTCCTTTACAAGCGATCATCCCTCATGGCGTAACCCTCCCCTCTTGCCTGGTGGGTCTGGTTTTCCAGCCGACCGCTGCCGCAGAGCCGGGACATTTCTGAATCAAAGCTGGCCACGCTGAACTCAGTTCCGACCTTACCAGGCAGGCACAGTTTGATCGAAGGCACTCGGAGCCGCCTGGCCCTGTTCCTTCACTGCACCAGCTCCCTGCAGGGCGGCCCACAGATGTGCCAACCCAGCGCCAAGGACTCACCAAAATCTTGGCTGCAGAAGTTTTCCAGGAACTCCTTTTCGCTGGGCCCTCGGCTGATGCAGGCTGCGCACACGGCGTCTGGCAGGGGGAGAAAGAGCAGTCTTGAGAACGGGGGGCAAGGAACAGTCCGCGACGGCTGAAGAACACTTGTTTGGTTTAGATAGAGCAGAAATCACACCTACCTCTCCTGGAAGACTCTATGGAGGACTGGAGAGCTGGTCTCTGTGCAATTCGACCGGATTGACTGAGATGCACAGGGATTTGAGCTCAGATTTCTAAAAGCTTTTCTTGTTTTTTTGCTAACACCCAAGGCTGGGTTAACTTTTTGTCCTGGACCGTGGCCATGCTCCCACACTGTGCCCCGAGACCCTACCCCTGGGCTGTGCCCTGACGCCCTGCACCATCCTGGGCTCTTCCCCCTGAGGCCCAACCAGCTCCTCACCCAGGGAATGGGGACAGAGAGAAGCAAGCAGCAGGCCCACAGGAGGGGGCAGAGAAGAATGAGTGGTGGGGAGGTAAGAGGAGGAGAGAAGAGGAGTGGAGTGAGCAAAGGATGGGGCATCAGGGGGAAGAGGCTAAGCAGGGAGGCGGGGCCTTAGAGCAGGGAGGCGGGGCCTTAGAGCAGGGAGGCGGGGCCTTAGAGCAGGGAGGCGGGGCCTTAGAGCAGGGAGGCGGGGCCTTAGAGCAGGGAGGCGGGGCCTTAGAGCAGTTTCCATTGCCTGAAAACACTTGGGGGAAACTCCCTGCTAAGGATCCGGCCCCTGGGGGCTTTCAGACCCAGCTTGAGAAGGCTCGCCAGCCGCATTGCCCAGCCCTGCAGCGCGCTTTCCAGCAGAACCAGCACCCACCGGCCGGATAGGGGGGAGGTAAGACGAGAGAGAAAGACTTTAAAAAGCCACCTTGCCGGCCTTCCTTCTGCAGCCCAGAGAACCCGGCACGAGAAACCAAGCACTTCCCTGAATGGAGCCTGGGAACGCTGGAGCGCAGCATCGGGGAGAGGGCTACGAGAACGAGTCGCGCTCTGGGGAGCGCACCTCCCAGCGCCATCCCCTCAGCATCTCTGCAGGACGGCGGAGAGACAGGACAGCCGTGAGTCTTGGCCGCAGACTCATTGGCAGGGCGGTGGGTATCACAGCCTTCCCAAAACACCAGGCATGGCCCTGCTCACCTACTGGGGACGGAGTGTCACTGCCCCCAGCGCCCGCCCTCCCCATGCTCCAGGGCCGGAGAGACTGGGGCCACACGCCATCCTCCCTCCCCGTGGTGCTGAGAGAGGGGCTGGGGCCATGTGCCGCTCCAACTCCCCGTGATGCTGCAGGGTGGGGCTTGGGCAGAAGGGATGGGGTTGAGGGCGGGGCTGGGGGGCTTGCTTCCCCCGCCCTACCTTCATGCAACGCCCATGCCCATTGGGGACCTCCCTCTGGAGTGCATGGAGGATTTCAAATAAGGCTTCCCCGGGGGGACAGATGGGGCTTCCCAGCCTCGGCCACTCTCTTAGGAGAGGGAAAACTCTCATTTCAGACCAGAGGGACAAGCGTGGCCAGATACCCAGGAGATTGGCTCTTTGACCTGGTGTCTGATCGGGAGTTTGGGGGGAAGGTAGAAAAGCCGTCACCCCCAAGCGGGCAGCATGAGGAGAAGAGGAATGAGAAGGAAGACAACCCTACTAGGGTTGCCAGGTGTCCGGTTTTTGCCTGGACTGTCCGTTATTTGGGTCCCCTGTCTGGTAAAAAAAACCAAAAAATACCGGACATGTATTTCCTGTTTCCCTGGGACGGAAACTCAGCAGGGACAATTTTCCCCTGAAGTATCAGGCGGGGTCAGGGGAGTGAGGAGCACGGGGCCATTTTGACTTTTTTTTTTTTTTTTGCTTAACAACTTTGGTCTCCCCCCCTTTTTTTTCTCCACAGAATTTTTTCTTGGTGGTTTTGTGACATAGTGGGGGGTACCTTGCTGGTTGCTATGCTGGGCAGTGGGCTGTGGGTGACCTCCGCTGTCTGTAGCATGGCCCAGCAAGGCAGAGGATGAGTCATTATGCAAGGGGGCTCCGAACCTGTCCGACCAGTTATCTCCCAGGGAGCGGAACAATGGGAAGAAGGCGGAGTGGAGCCCTGGCTAGGAGGCAGGGCTGGAAGAGAGTGGTAGTTTCGGTCTGGGAAGCAGGGGAGAAGGAGCTAGGGAGGGGGGCTGGGATTGTAGGGCCCAGCCACCCCCCATCTCAAGGGAGGGCACTGAGGCCTCCTAGCCCCAGTTCCTGTAACCAGATGACATCTGTGCTGTGCTGTATCCTGGAGAAGCAATAAACTCCTGTTCTACTGGCTGGTGGAGTCTGTTCGTGCCACTACGGGGGTGCAGGAGATGGGGAAACCCCAACGCACCATCACAGGTTATTTTTTTGGGGGGGGAGGGTTGTTGGTATTTTTTATTAAACCATCTAGCAACCCTAAACCCTACTGCTCACCCGATCATGTGGAGGTGGCTCCCCACGCTAGAGGACTCATTAATGTCGCAAAGCTACACTAGAGCCCATGGCTGGACGCTGAAGTCGGCAAAGGCCGATCTGCAAAGGAGAGGCAGATTTTTCACAGTGAGGGCCATTAACGATTGGAGCCACTTTCCAAGGGCTGGGATCAATCTTGGAGCCTTTCCATGGCGCCGAGGAGTTAAGTGCTCCTTCGGCCGCGAGGCATTTGGTCTTGTGCCGGAATCGGAGGGTGAAATTCCACAGCCCGCGTTGTGCAGGCGGGCAGCCCAGAGGAGCAAAATGATCCCGGCTCGCCTTCAAATCTGCCGTCTGCTCCGGCGACGAGGGCTGGATAGATACGGGTGAGGCCAGGGCGTTTCTCCCCAGCGCGTGCCGTGTCCGTGCCCTTGCACTCTGTCTGACCCCTGGCTTTCGGAGACCGGCCTAATCTATGGCGTGACATGTGGGCGGGGCTGGGGGGGGGGGAGTAACATGAAGCACAAACTGCCCCAGGCCCACCGTTAAACAAGAACAGGCACACAGCGGCCCTGAGCCAGGCTTTGATTGCAATGACCCGAGACTGACCCTACCGCCACCACCGCGTCGTGGTGCCAGGATCTCGGGGCTAAGTGCCGGGCACCAGCTGCCCGCTTGGCCTCACCTTCCTTCGGGAGTTGGAGCCTGTCGTCTGGGCCGGCCGGCGGGACGCACAGTTCGTTCCCCCGCGGGAACCGGCTGCAGTTGAACATCTCTGGCCAGGGGAAGCCGAAGGCGGCCATGACAGGGGTGCAGCCGTCTCTCACCGCCTCGCACAGGGACCGGCACGGGTAGACAGGCTCCTCCATGTCGCTGATGCACACGGGGGCGAAGAGGGAGCACAGGAACTTCTTGGTGTCCCCGTGGCACTGCTTGGTGAGCAGGGGCACCCAGGAGGCGGCTTGCTGCAGCGCTTCCTTCATGCTCTCGTGGCCCAGCAGGTTAGGCAGCCGCATCTCGCTGTAGCCCACGCCGTGGCAGAGGGTCATGCTGCTGGGGACGGGTTTGCAGCTGCTCCGCTGGGTGCTGGGCCGAGCCAGCTGGTAGGTGAACGCAGCAGCCCGAGAAGGGGAGGGCCACGCCCATGCCAGGAGGGCCAGGAGCAGCAGGACATCCATCGGGACTCTGTGGGAGCAAGAGGCGGATCCCTGCTGTTAGCGGGTTATTCTAACCTGACGGGGTCAGCTCACGGGATGGGAGGCGAGAGGGGGCTGCCCTCGCTAGAGCACCTGCCCTGCTCCGGTTTGGTCACTAGTGGCCCAAAGTCGCCGCTGTCGTGCGGAACGGGCCGTGGATTTTCAGTCCAGCCTGGCGCCCACCCCCACAGCTGGCTCCCTCCAGCCCATCCCACCTTCCTGGCAATCCCGGCTGAGCGGGCAAGGCTAGAATAGAGACTCCGCCCCCTTATGCCCTGAAGTCGGAGGTGTGGCATGTACAGCGTCTGGCACAGCAGGGTTCCAGCCTAGGGGAAGCTTGTTCTAAATACTAAGAGTGAAAGAGAAGATTGAAAGGGTCCCTTCTGGTTCTGCGATTCTGTGTGAAATCCTGGCCCCATTGCAGTCGATGGGGCAGGGGTGAGCAACCTGCGGCCCGTGGGCTGCATGCGGCTCATGGGGTTCTGGGTGTGGCCCAGGAGAGAGTTTACTTGGGTTGCCAGATTCAGGTGTCTGCCCGCATCGTTTTTTTCCAAAAGTGACGCGGGGCAAAACAAAGGCACATGAAGTGAGGTGCCTGCTGACGTGTGTTCCCTCTGCATCCATCGGCCACGGTGCAGTCGCACACCCTGCAAATTCCAGCTTCACAACACAGGGCGCAACGCTCCCCTGTCCCAGGAGACATCCTTGGTTAGGACAATCTTGCAGCCCACTGAGAGGCAGCCCACTTACTAGCCTAGTTTGCTCATTGCAACGATGGAGGCTTTGCCGTTGACTTGGGTGGAGCTAGGCTTTCCCCAGCGTCTTGCTGCTCTCATGCGCCGGGAGTCCGGCGATCGACCACAGTATCTCGTGACAGTATCGCATGACAGAGGCTACCACAGCCTATTGCGTGAGCATGAAGCTGCTGGCTTTGCCCTTTGCTTCTGCCACACTTTTGACTTTGTTCCCCATGGGAATGCAGCCACCTCTGGGGTGGAGCACGCCAGCCATTGCTCCGCAAAGGGCACTAGGTAGATGTTCTGGAAATGAACCGGCCCGGAGCACCGGGAGGCTAAATCCAACCACCCAAATCACCATCTGGCCCGGACACCTGGGCTTAGCCGCCCTGACTCATGCAAAACATCTTCTGGGACTTTTAATTCATGATAGCCATGATGTCACCTTTCCTGCCCACCCAGCACTTAGCACTTCCAGTGTTACGGCTCCGCCTTGGCACCCTGCCGGCCTCCGCTTGAGTCCTGACCCGGAGCACCATCTCCTGAGCCACCAGGCGCCACATGTGGGTGGTTCTGTCTCGGGGAGGCGTCCCTGCGAGGACTAGTGCAAACCACCCTGCCTGTGAGAGCTAACGAGCACGGCCCTAGGCCCCTGCAGCGCCTCTGCTGCTGAAACAAATCTCCCTTTTGTCTGCGCTAGGAAAACCAACACACGGTCCCAGTCGGGGCAGTCGCGCCGGTCGCCCCATGGCAAGTGCCAGCAGAGACTGGGCCTGGGCCCTGCATGACAGGATGAGGAGGACACAGCGCTGGGATGGGGGGGTTGCCTTCTAGGGGAGGCCCCCACAGAACAGCCCCGCTCTTTGTTCATCTCACTGCAACCAGGAGCGAAGCAGGCACAGAAGAGGGAGACGCGTCTACAACGTGGACTCCCACCGTCTCACCCTTGGTCTGCCGCCGGCGCTCTGCAAGACCAAGGGCCGCCGTGCCTCGGTTTCCCCAGCCATAGCAAGGGGAACATGATACTGACCTCCCTCCCTGGGGCACTGCAAGGCCTGACTAGCTCATGTCGGCTAAGAGCTGTGAGAGCCTTGCGGGAGAAGGGCTGGCACCCGCTTCCTGTTCTAATTAGGACAGAAATCCCGCCTGCCCAGCCCTGGTCTGTTTCTCCGCTTCCAATGTCCCTGGGTGATTTTCTCAGGGGAATTGTGTCCCTGTGGAGAGCAATGCACCTGGCCTGCCTCTTGATCTAGTCTCCACACTCCCTTCCTCCCCAGCGTCCACAGAAGAGCTTCCCAAGTCCCGGCCTCAGCTCCTCAGCCCCGTTCCCTTCTTGACTTGTTGTTTCATGCATGCGGCAGAAAGGAATTAACCCAAGGCAAAGCCTTTTCCAGCCCTGCTGGTACCTTCTCTGCTGGGATCCGTCTGGAAGCAGCTCCGTGCTGTTAGCCTCTTGTGTCAGTTCCTTGCCTCCCTGGGCTTGCAGGGCTGTATGTGCCAAGTGTTTCCTGCAGGAAGTCAGACCCTCTTATAAGACCCCCACCCCCAAACCTTACCTGGGAGCTCCTACTGGCTTTGTGAACCTGAAACCAGGATGTTTATGCAGAGAAAATTACAGGCTTCGGTAACTGGCGCGTAGACCGCAGGGATGTGTTTGGTCTTGACCACACAAGTGCATGAATTTAACGGCAGGAAATCCAAGGCCTCGGAAGGAGCTGTAAAACCCTACCATGTAATTATACCCTTTCCTCCAGCGTCATAAAATCAGAACGGCGAGCGCAGCTTTCTCCCACCCACCCGCCTCCCGCACTGCTCCAGCCGCCCTGGCTCAGAGCCATGGGAAGACTCCATAGCTCCCCTGTTCCAACCAAACCCTTATCTTCTCTGGCATCAGAAAGTGGGGGGGGTCACCCAGTGCACAAGGGAACACGCATGGCCTGTCGCCAGCAACGGAAAGCAGCAAACAGATCCAGATGAACTGTTAGGCAGGGGGCAGGATCGGTCTATCACCAAGTGGTGAGGTGCACCATAGTTCTGCAACGATAGTGAGAAACTTCAGAGATGCTCTAGACTAACATCTCCAGGGCCAGCTACGGATTTTACTGGTGTCACCAGGCTGCAACCATCTGACACTCGCCTCCTACTGATTCCATAGCCCAGCCCCCTCCCACTTGCTTGAAAGGAGAATCTCCATCAGTTGCTTGCAGTATACAGTCTATGGCACATAGTTGAGCAGCTCTGAATTTATTCAGCAGAGGGCGGTGTTGTTGCATACACCCTAGGACATTCATTACAAGAAGATTGTCCCCAGGGAGCAGAAAGGGCCCTTAAAACAGTCCCGTAATGCCACGTTAACCAAGAGACTCCAACAAGTAAAGCTCCGTGCTGGCAAAGAACAGTCTCATTCTCTTCCTTCCAGCCTCTAGCTCCCACTCCCTGCCTTGCACCTTATCAGCGTCTCATTTAATCCTCCTTCTCGTTGAGGCAGGCAAAGCAAACGAACTCGAGGGCATGGAATTGCTCGGGCTCAAAGGCGGTTGGAGGATGAAAGAAGAGCTACAGGGATGGTGGGTGGTTTGGAAAATCAGCCGTGGAAAGGAGATTAATCCAATTAGCATATCGATGGGAAGGTTACGAGACGATCGACTCCCGCTCTGTGAGTACCCCCGAGGGAGGGAGATATCTGAACCCAGAGCGGGCTCCTTGCTCTGGCTGATAAAGGCATATCAGATCTCCTAGCCACAGGCTGAAGTCAGACTGGAAATCATCAGGCGCTCGCTCGTTTGGAACGGGGAGGGTAATTAGCCACGGGAACAGATGGCCACGGGATGTGGTCAGTTCGCCAGAACGTGGCTCTTTACAGGACTGCCTGGCTCCTTCTCAAAGATCCGCCCGGTTTCAACCACCAGTCATTGGATGGGAGGCAGGGGATCAGGAGTCCCTTCTGTGTCACACCTAGGCCTCATGAATCCCTTGGCTTGCAGGCAGCTGCCTCCTTTCCCAGCTCCCTGACAGGTGTGCCCGCTTGTTACGCTCCACCGGGGCAGGCACCACGAGCCCCATAGTACTAGCACCACCAGCTGCTCTCTGCCCCCTAGAATCGGAAGCATACATCCCGGCCTCTGAGAAGGCCTCTCTCTCCCAACTTGCTGCCTCCCCTCCCTGCCTCCCCTTCTGCTAATGCGCCTCAGTTCCCATCTCCGGCTCCCCCTGCTATTCCAGGCTCTGCCTCGGCCCCTCAGCCCCTCAATGGGCAGAGCTTATCCGTTGCCCAACAACCGAGGGACAAGATGGGGGCCAGCGTCCACGGGGGAAAGCTGCCTGACAGCCCAGAGATTTCATTGACCAGAAACTGAATCAGAACAAGAGCCTGACCAGACCAGCACTTGCAAGCTCCCTCACCACCAGAGAGAACATGGAGTTTTCCAGCCATCTTGTACCCCTGCCACTGGGACCTGGAAGACACCGGGACCTAGTGGAAGTTGCTCTAGGACGTTTACAGAATGGGCTGCTAAGAGGAGTAGATACAAGCCAGCTATATAATTAGTCATTAACTCAAGCTAAGCCAGTAATGATGCACCCTCCCCACACGCTCTGCATGATCATCAAGCAGCTGAAATTCCAGTGGAGGAGCGCTGTCCCTGGCCCTAATCGCTTACTCCCCCAGACTCTCCTGGGAAACGGAGAAAGCCTGTGGGGTGGACAATCACAGGCATTAGAGCAGTGTTTCTTAAACTGTGTTCCGAGGAACACCCGTGTGCCACGAGGCAGTCGGAAGTGTGCCGTGGAGAACAACAGAGTTCAAAACGGCCGCCCTTAAAAGGGAAGGTGACTTTTTTTTTTCTCAATAACTTTCCCCCGACCCTTTTTTTTTTTCTCAACAAAAAATCCTTGGTGTTCCTCATGAAAAAAAAATTATTGCTTGGTGTTCCTTGGTCTTAAAAAGTTTAAGAAACACTTCATTAGAGACAAGGGCACTAGGAGATCACACGGCTCGGCCACAAGGGGGCCAGGAACAGCTCTCTGCAGTGTATTTAACCAGAGAATGGGCTTGCACTGCTGCCCTTGGGTAGGCTATTTATTGCACAAGCCGTCCAACATCAGGAACAAACCCCTCTGCCTCTGTGGGGCACATGCTTCCAGGAGTATTCACAGCCGGGTGGGTGAGCCACCAAGTCAGGAGATCCACGTAGGGTGCCAGGCTCTGACACCGACGCACTGTGTCCCCTTGACCAACTCCCCATAGGTCACCTTTCCAGAAGCAGCCACTGATGTGTGGAGCCCAGCATGAGATGCTTTGGGCCTGTGGGACCACGCCAGAATGGGGATAGGGAGTTCAGTCTCCAAGGCCCATTCAGTCTAACTTGCACCGCAGTTACACACAGAAATGGGGAGGGGGTAGTGCCCTTGCAAACAATGAACCCTATTTTCTGTGACGGTGCAGAACCCGTGTGTGTGGGGAAATCCTACCCAAGGTTTTTAAAACATCTTGCGCTTTGGTTCCAGTTCTGCTCCCACTGGCATCAGCAGCCCCCCCCTCCCCTGGAAGTAGCGACCCTCCGTCTGGAACTCTGATGACACTCATAGACGGTTCAGCTCTCCAAGCGGAGACGGACTCCAAGCTTGTCAGAGGTAACATCAGCTCTGCAGATGTGACTGGAAAACAAACGAGCCATGTTCTGACTAGGAATGTAATAGTGCAGTCGATTAACCGATTAACTGATAAGCAAAAGCTTACCGGTTAATGCTATAGACCACGTGCATTTCTCCCTTCCCCCCACCAGTACATTTTTTAGCAGGCTGGCCAGCAGCCCGACTAAGTCCTGGCTCGCACCAGGTCCGGGACCTACCCCTGCTGCAGCTCTGCATTTAAAGTGTATTAGGAGCCAGGCGGGCAGGCAGACCAGCTCAGTTCCAGCTCGCGCGGGGTCTGGGAATCTGCCCCTCCTTCCAGACAGGGGTTGCTTCCACCCCATGCTGTGCAGCAGAGCGGGGTGACAGGCAGCCGGTCTGTGAGGGAAACTGGTTTTTAAACTGGCTCCTCTTGTGGACCAGCTCCCTCCTGGCACCCCATGCTGCTGCCTCTGATTCAGAGGCAGCAGCACGGTGTGGCAGGGGGCTCCTCAGGAGAGGGGATGGAGCGCACTGGCTGCCAGCCTTGTCCCTGGGGATTACAGAATAGTCGAGTAACCGATAAAAATTCATGAGCTTAATCGACTATTCAGTTAACCGATATGTAGCATCCCTAGTTCTGACCCTCACTGTGCAGCCTCAGGCAGCAAGTTAATATCTGGAGCCGTCTCCAGTGATCATAACATTGGAGGACAGAACTTGCAACTTTCCGCTTTGAGACTGGCGGCTTCGTGGCCATCTCCCGTCACTTGACGGACAAGCGTTCATCCCATGTTGACTTGAGTTCCGGGTTTATTTGTTTTCATGGCTTTTCCCGTGGGAACAGAGGGGCTGGAACAATTTGTAGAGTGGGGGTCCTGAGAGCCACTGAACCAAACTGTAAATCCTGTTGGTGACAGAAAACTGCTCCAGGCAGGGGGTGCTGCAGCACCTCCCACGTTCTCGCCACGCCTCTACTTCCAGCACCTTTGCATGGGAAGCAAGTCCAATCCTGGATCTGCAAATGCGATATGCGTAGGTTTGCGGGAGCAGCTTCTCTACAGTAGCCAGTAGAGGGGACAGGCATGGCCAGAGGTCTGTGAAGTGCCAGTCCGGAGAGGGCAGTAATGTACCCTCCCAGCATATGCACCTGCCGACCCATAGACATCTGATACTAGAGTCCTGAGCCGAACGCCCTCCCTGCAAAACTAGAAATGCTCTAGATGAATTCCCAGTGACCAGTGTGCATCTTCCTGGGGAAGGCTGATGAACGTTAAGTAGCTGGAGTGCTACAGATACCCCCTCCTCCCCAGTGACGTAACACTAGGAGGTTATTTTGTGGCAGCGAAATACCAAAGCACCAGCAGGACTTTGCCGGTTACAAGCAGGGGCTGGAACTCAAGAGGCGGGCCCCCATGGAATGTCCCGCAGGGGAACAGCTCTGTCGCTCACGTGATGGAGACGAGATTAAAACTGGAACCCATTCTCCACGGGACTGTTCAAAGTATGAAGCAAGAGGGGAAAGCGGCTTCCTCAAATCCCACAGAAAGAGACAGGAAGCGGCTCTCGCAATGTGCAACGACCGATACCAGTCTGGCGCTGACTGCTAGACAGGCACCTCGCTGCGCGGCGTCCAGCTGGGCTTACCGCGGAGGGGTAGATACCAGGGAGGGAGAGGAGTTAGGTGCCAGTGTGGACACAAGGACCAATGGCTATAAACTGGCCCTCCACCCGGTTAGACTTGAAATAGCGGAGGGAGCAAAGAACCCCTCAGGACTGAGGTGGATAAGTTTGTGTTCGGGATGACCTGCAGTGGCGTGTGGCCCATCCGGGACGGCTAGCATCAAATAGC